CATGTGGCCCCTTCAGCTCATAAAAGGACCATTCTCCCCAGCACATGGGGACAGATGCTTCCAAGCAAGGTATATGATGAAATGGTTCAAGAGCTGAGACTCTAGAATCAGACTGATTCAAATGCTACTGTCACCAGTTGCTAGCCATGTGACATGGGGCAGGCTTCTTAATGCCATTTCCCCCTCCATTCTTCCTTGTTAAATGGGCAAAATATCACCTACATCCAAGGCGAGGAGGACCACTGCATCTGACCAGAACTTTCATTTCAGATCTTCTGACTCCTTAGGGTCACTCAAGTCTCAATTCTTACCATCATCATCCCCTTCCACGTCACCTTCAGTGACCATTCAACATGAAACTGGAATCACCCACATCACTAGTGCTGCTGCTGCTGCTTTTCTTCATGATACCTCTCTATTTAACTGTGAAAATGTTAGGTATTTCTCCACAACAGGATGTTAACTATCAAGAAGTCAAGCTATACTTGGTAATCATTGCTACAATACAATGCAGAATTTCAGTAAGTAGCCATCCAATAAATAAAAGAATTAATGAATCAACGAGGTAAAGAACTCTTCATAGAGCCAGACATAGAAGCATCAATACATTGTTGACTAAAAACTCTTTTAATGGGGGCCAGCACGGTGACATAACACGCTAATCCTCCACCTGCTGGCACTGGTATCCCCTAGAGGTACCAGTTTGTATCCCAGCTGCTCCACTTCCTGATCCAGGCTCCCTGCTTATGGTTTGAGAAAGTAGCAGATGATGGCCCAGGTCCTTGGGCCACTGCACACATGTGGAAGACCCAAAAGAAGCTCCTGCCTCCAAGCTTCGGATCAGGTCAGCTCCGGCCATTGTGGTCATTTAGAGAGTGAACCAGTGGATGGAAGGCATTTCTCTCTGTTTCTCCATCTCTATCTGTATCTCTGATTTCCCAAGTAAAATAAATAAATCTTTAAAAAAAATCTTTCAATGAACCATCATTGGTTTATACTTTTATAAGTTTTCCAATATTTAAGTTTTTGACTCCACAATGCTTCTTTTTGCTGCACTATGGGCACATATTTATTTAGGTAACAATCTTTCAAGTATCAAGCAATGCAGAGGTGAAAATAGGCCCTGAGAGTAGTATTTGTCATTCCCATGGTATCAATATTCCAAATCATACCTAATTTCAGTCTTTCAATAGTTTAACAATAGGCACACAAGATTCTTAAAAACTGTAATGACCGCAGAGATGGGGGAGGGGTAGGGCAGTGCTGTGGCATATCAGATTAAGACATGACCGGCAGTGCTGCCATCCCATACAGATGTTGGTTCAAGTCCCAGCAGCTCCACTTCCAATTCAGCTCCCTGCCAATGCACCTGAGCAACAGTACAAAATGACCCAAATCCTTGGGTCCCTGCACCCATGTGGGACACTCAGAAGCTACTGGTTCCCGGCTTTAGCCTGGCCCTGTTGGATCATTGTGGTCATTTGGGAGTGAACCATCCGATGAAAACTCTCTCTCACTACCTCTCTTTCTCTCTTTTTGCAATTCTGCCACATATTTTTTTAAAGATTTATTTATTTATTGGAAAGTCAGATATACAGAGAGGAGGAGAGACAGAGAGGAAGATCTTCCGTCCAATGATTCACTCCCCAAGTGAGCACCGATGCTTTGCCGATCTGAAGCCAGGATCCAGGAACTTTTTCCGAGTCTCCCACACGAGTGTAGGGTCCCAAGACTTTGGACTATCCTCGACTATTTTCCCAGGCCACAAGCAGGGAGCTGGATGGGAAGTAGAGCAGTTGGGATTAGAACCAGAGCCCTTAGGGGATCCCGGCATGTTCAAGGCGAGGACTAGGCCATGCCACCGGGCCCTCTGCCATATTTTTTTAAGATTTATTTTTATTGCAAAATCAGATATACAGAGAGAAGGAGAGACAGAGAGGAAGATCTTCCATCAGTAATTCACTCCCCAAGTGACCACAACAGCTGGTGCTGCACCAATCTGAAGCCAGGAGCCAGGAACTTCCTCTGGGTTTCCCACACAAGTGCAAGGTTCCAAGGCTTTGGGCCACGCTTGACTGCTTTCCCAGGCCACAAGCAGGGAGCTGGATGGAAAGTGTAGCTGTTGGGATTAGCTGTATGGGATCAAGGCGCATTCAAGGCAAGGACTTTAATTGCTAGGCCAGCGTACCGAGCCAATTCTGCCTTTTAAATAAATAAAATACATCTTTAAAAAGATATCTTGAGTGGCTCTCACTTGTTAATACAACCTTTCCATGGGAAGCAGAGTCCTTTTAGGCCACCAAGTCTTGTTGTATGTTCAATTTTTAATGGCTTTTAAAAATAGAAATACATCATCCATATTCTCCCTTTTGATGAGCCAGGTAAAGGCTATGCACTGACTGCAGTTCAACACTCTGGCAAACTAGCCAGATGTATTAGGGTGTGCTTTGTGTTCCACTATCAGTGTACTCTCAAACTGACGTACATGACTCTAAACATGATCTCTTTCCACACCAGATCACTGTAAGAACTAACACATCTCACAAAGCTCAACTGATGCATTTAAATGAAGGCAGTCACACAACAAAATCAAGGCACCATTTGTCCTACAAAGGAGCAGAATCTAATGGTACACTCAGAGAGTGGCCCCTCTCTGAGCACAAGATCCCAATACAGAGTGAGAAAAGGTGCTACAGGTGGAGGTATACATGGCATCCCAGAGTTGCTACAGTGGCAACACCATCACTTGGTACCCTGAGTAAAATGGTAGTTTTGTCTACCTCCAGTGATTTTTCTACCAACCAAATTTGAAGATAATACAGGGAAATTTTCACAATTCACAGTCTACATGCAGGTAAGAACATGGCAGAAACTGTTCATCTTCCATAAATTAGGCAGGATGTCAATGGAGGGAAAGTAGGGAGGCTAATTTTTTTTGGCTAGCATATCAGTTATCTATCTCCACATAGCAAATTATCCCCAAAACTTAGCAGTGTGAAACAACACATTAATGCTATGGTACATGATTATGCCACATGATATCCGTGAGACAGGAAGCCAATTATATTTTAGTTGGGTCCTCTCACTCATAAGATTTCACAAAGCTGCATTCCATGTGTCATTCCAGGCCCTGTCATCTCCTCTGAAGGCTCAACTGGGGAAGGATCCACTTCCAGGCTTACTAAGTAGTTGCTACAACTTACCAGTTCTATATGGTTGCTGGTCTGGGAGCTACTGTTCCTTACTGTTGGCTTTACTCAGTATTGAACCACTTGAGTCCTCCATAAAGTAGCTTGTTCCATCATAACATGAAAGGTAAGAGGGAAAGAGCCAACAAGACGGAACTCACAGTCATATATAACCAAGTCATGGACATGATGTTGACATTCCTTTACCTATCCCATATTCTATTATTTAGATGTAAATCTCTAGGATTGTCTGAGACTCGAGGAAAAATGACTATAGAAGGATGAGGATTCCAAGAGTAGGAATCACTGACCACCATCCCACAAGTCTGCCTATCACACTCAATCTCTTAAAGTATGAATGGGAAGACTATGCCCAACCAAGTATCCCCCTAAGCACCTCCATATGCAACCACAACATAGAATTCTCCAGTCATAATTGCTAAGGTTTCATGAAAACAAAATCAGAGACTACAATAGAAGAAATCAAACTTAAAGACACAAAAGCCTACTCAAATGTTCTAAATGAGTACCATCCACATCAGGAAAAGCTCCCAGCAGTATCTGAATTTTAGCAAGTCCTAGCATGGAAGCCATGTTTTCTAAACAACCTAATCAGTAAATTCATAAGAAGGCCAGTCCAGACTTGAAAACCAAGAAATATTGTTTGGTCGGAAATCAAATAATCCTTGAAAAATTTTGTTAATGATTCCAGAATATTTTAAAAATACATTGCATGCCATTTTGATGCCTGCTACTTTCTGTATGAACAACAGTTTTGCCTGCATCATACTTGTAAGATCTGCATCCACCACAGTGGCAAGAAAAACCCTTAGCTGGAAACCTCTCACACCCTGGCTATCACACACATTTTTCCTAACTCTCCCAACCACATGGCCTCAGAAATTTAAGTATTCCAACATCCAACTATAGTGGCATGTAGGAGTGGTTATCTATGATGAACTTCCAGGGATTCAATTCACTAAGGGCAAAACATGGACTCAGAAAACCTGGAATATTTTGAGATGAATGTATGCAGACAAGGCTTATCTTAAACCTATAGATTCAGGCCCAGTGCAATAGCCTAGTGGCCAAATCCTCACCATCAACTGCTGGGCTCTCATCTAGGTGCCAGTTCATATTCTGGTTGCTCCCCTCTGGTTCCCTGCCTGTGGCCTGGGATAAGAATTAGAGGATGGCCCAAAGCCTTTGGACCCTGGGCCCACATGGGAGACACAGAAGAAGCTCCTGGCTTCAGATCAGCACAGCTCCGGCCATTGTAGTAACTTGGGGAATAGACCAGCGGACAGAAGAGCTTTCTGTCTCTCTGTGACTGTCTTTCCAATAAAAATAAATGAATCCTTTAAAAAACAACCTACAGATTCAAAACTGTACCTTTTTACTGTGCTTGCCAAAGATACCTATAGGTTTTGCTTTTTATTTCCAGGCCAATCCCTAATCCAGTTGTAAAAATACTTGGGTTCTTGTGTTGCTTGTAATCTGTTTTTACCTTCAGAGACACTTGATAAGCAGTGAAACTTAAAGACCCTGAACCCATGGCCATCTGAGGAAAAGCAACTGTAAACCGCCTTCAAATTCAAATGTGCTGAAGACATGCTGAAGGGCAACAGAACATACGGGTCTAAGCAGAAAGCCAACGCAGAACTCCAAGCTAACAATCAGAAGCAGACAGGAAGTTAGAGGGCAGGTGGCAAAGGCCATTGTGTTAAGGCTTACCTAGGAAAGTAACATGATAAGACACATCTTTAGTTTGTAAAAATAACACTCTAGGAATATCAAGGAGGATATTCTTACCTCTCTCAGATGTATGTTCTCCTTCTCCTTCTGGTCTAAAATCACTTCCAAGTGGCTGACCTGAGATTCCGCCTCTGCCATCCTCCGCGTTCGCTCATTGTCATCCTCGAGGCTTTTGGATGGCAAACCTTTGCTTTGCAGCATCTCCAGGAGCTTTTTAATGGACTCATCTCTTGCATTTAAGGTCTGTTTCTGTGTTTCGATTCTCAGCTCCATCTCCTCTAACGTCTTCCTCAAAAGGAACAGCTCCTTCGCCTGTCGGTCATGCTCTGCTTGCAGACGCCTGAAGTTCTCCTCGGTCAGCTCAATGGTGAAGTGCTCGGCTCCCCGGTTGCCGCTCTCTTGCTGCAGGAGGTGATTGAGGTCCCTCTGGGTTCGTAACTCATCCTGGAGGGCCTGGATTGTCAACTGCAGGTGCTGCAATGAGAAAAGGGGCACAGGAGAGGACAAAGAAGAGAACAAAGTTAATGGCAACACCAGGCATGATTTTGCGGCTCCCACATGAAGATGAAATGCTAATCATGAAGTCCCGAGGGCCAGCCATGAAGTCCTCCACGGTGACTTCAGAAGCATGGCACAGCACATGGAGAGGGGGATATTAATTCAGTGATGTTTTCTGAATGTCTCAAGAGAAGAGAAATGTACACAAACACAGGAACGGCATATTAGTATTAATCACAAGGGAAGCTACGCATCTACAGACTTTTCATTTAGGAAGTGGAAAGGGTTAGAGGGAAACTCTCACAAACACGCCTTCAGTGCGCCCACAGTGCTCCAGACTCAGTATTCCTTGTTTCCTAAGCACTTCTCTAGAATCCATTATTTTCCATGATGAATGCATTTTCCATTTTTAAAAAAATGAAAATAACAGCATCCATTACATGTAGACACAAACAAGGACTTAATTTTTTTTTTAACAAATAAAGCTGTGAACGGGTTTAGTAAACAGGATTACTGTCTCTGCAAGCAAAAGGGAACAAATGCAGACACAGACACGTTTAGACACACGAGGACGTGAGGCTGTGCCGGGCAAAACAAACAAGCCGCGGAGAGCAGACAAACCTTGGTCCTTCTGGCATCCAGTGACTGCACAGCATGGAAAATGAAAAAAAAAAATGAAGCAAAAATCAACACAAAGAAAAATCCAGTGCAAGCCAAGGATATATAACAGAAAGAACTTAATCAACATAAAGTACCTTCACAGAAGAAAAACAAAAAATAAAAAATAACAATTTCTCATTACAGCAAAGACCCAGTTAGCTACACAGAATGCATAGCATTGATGCTTTATAAACACGGTTGGGAAACCAAAAAGGAAAGAGAGGGAAAAAAAAAAAAAAACTAACATGAGATTTATTCTAGATTTTTCTGAAATCTTAGTGTTCCAGCAACTCGAAGTCTCAGATGCATTACCAGACAAAAAAGTGTTGTGCTCTATAAAAGCACCCAATTGTTATTTCTTTTCAGGTCACCATTTAATCAGAGCAAAAGCATTAGAGAAATCAAGAAGTCATCACCCTTGATGGATGCAGCAACACCTTCCCCACAAGACCACTCCCAAACTGGTCACAGGAGGTAACCAAAGCATTTCATCTTTGTTGTCAACCATGTGGCTTCCAAGATATCAGTAACTCATTCATTGACCAGGCAGCTAATCCCACCTATGCACAAGAATCTACATAGACAGAAGGCCCAGCTCCTGCACACAGGGAACTTATGGTGCTGTAAAGCATGCCTAATACAACGTCTGAGGTTGGAGTGTAACATTGTGAAATCTTTCTGAATTGCCGCAGCTGACACTCAGGAGGGCTGAGCTATTTCTCAATGCGGTCTATACCCAGAAAGCACTGTGTGATAGATCGTCCTGACTGTATTCCTTATGGGTATCCATTCTAGTATGTGCGTTACGTTAAGAAATTCCAGAGCATGGGAAATCAGAAGGTCCTTTGCATGTGTGTGCAACAGTCTCACCAGGTAAGACACTGTTGCATAGTTAATGATGGAAAGTATCAATAATTTTAGTAATGCAGTGCACCCATGTAAAATGTAAACCTCACTAATTTCAATAAAAGCATAAAGCTGTACAGCCATCAACATAGTAAGTGTTTCCATATTTTAATTACCTCAAAAAGTAACTCCAGTGGCAAACGTTTAGCCTAACGTCCATGTCTCACACTGCAGCGCCTGTTTCTGTCTCCTGACCCCAGCTTCCTGCTAATTCACACCGTGGGAAGCAACCGGTAATGGCTGAAGTTCCTGGTTTTTGCGTTAACTGTTGTAGGCATTTGAGGAGTACACCAGCAGATGGCAGCTCTCTTCTCTTTCCTCTTCGTTATACTCTCCCTGCCTCTGCTCTCCCCTCCCAACTCCTCTCCTCTCTTCTTCTCTTAATTTTTTAAAAAGTGAAACTGTGCACACTTCAGCAGTCATTTCCCATCCCTTAACCCCAGGCATTGCTAAGTACTAATCTATTCCCTGTTTGTATGGAAATGCTTATTCTGAGCATTTCATAACAGATTCATGCAATGAAAGATCTCGCCCATATTTCAAAGTTTATACTTCTAGGAGCAAATATCAGTATTTCATTCGTTTTATACTTGCATATTATCCCATCATAGAGATATAGTTGAGTTTCAGGTTTATTATTTGAAAGATAGAGCCACAGTGAGAGAACTTTGATCTACTGGTTTATTCCTCAAATGTCTACATCAGCCAGGGTGGGACCAGGCCAAAGCCAGAAGCCTGGAACTCCATCTGGGTCTCCCACATGAGCAATAGGGACCCAAACATTTTGAGCCATCATTCGCTGCCTCCCAGGGTGCACATTAGCATGAAGCTATATCTAAAGCAGAGTCTAGGCTCAAACTCAGGAACTATGAATGGCTTGCAGCAGCTTAATGCACTGTATCACAATATCTATCCCCACATTGTACATCCATTCAGCCATTGAATTATACACAAATATTCAAAGCAACAATATCTATATTAACAAAATAGTGGAAATTACCAATTTGCCAACCAACCAAGGAATAGTTCAATAAAACGTGGTATATCCACTAAATGCATTGTTGCCATGAAAATTATTGTGGTATTCATCACCCATTACACAATACGGATGGGTATTGAGAATATGATGTTGTGGGTGGTTGGTAACACAGCTGGTTAAGCCACTGTCCACAGAACCAGAATCCCATTTTGGACACTATTTTGAGTTCCAGGTGCTCCATTTCCCATCTATCTCCTTGCTAACGCCCCTGGAAAAGCAGCCCAAAATGAGCAAGTGCTTAGGTCCCCGCAACCATACAGGAGACCTAAACTAAGCTCCTGGCACCTGGTTTCAGCATAATCCTGCCCTGGCCATTGCAGCCATTTGGGGAGTAAACCAGCAGATGGACAATATCTTTCTCAATCTTTGAATCCTCTTCTCTCTCTCACTCTTTTCCTCCCTCCCTCCCCCATAAATCTTTCAAATAAAATAAATATTTTTAAATACTTTTAATAAAAATACATAAAATATTGATCTAGAAGAATGAAATAAATCACAAAAGATCACATAGTATATGATAAAACTGACAGAATGACTAGAATAAGAACATCCATAGACAAAAATAACTTAAGGCTTTCCAAGTGGGCGGGGAGGAAGTAGGGGCGGGGGTTAGAGGGAGGGACTGATGCAAATATTCTCAAATTAAATGGGGGTATTCTTTGAACAATTTGATGAATACACCAAAGACAATGAATTTTACACTCTAAGTGAACTGTTTAGTATATAAATTATATCTCCATAAAGGTGTCACTGAAAAGCATGACATGGGATTAGAAATTAATATAATGTTCCACCAATGCCTTTCTCTACAGCACTTTGAAACAAAGTCTACAGGAGCAAACGCAGGTTGCAGTTCAGCAATACGTCTCCCATGGAGGTTTCTAGGGGTGTTCTTTAGCAACTGATTTCAAGTCACTTAAACATCGTTAATAGTGGTAGGTTTTTGTCCTGAACAGTGGTTTGTATTTCTGGGATCATCCAAGCCTCTTTGAAAACAAATGTGATGAATTAGGACAATTAGAAAGTCAGAAGGGAAATTAACATTTCTGAGAATAATCAAAAGTAAGACTGCTTTATTATTTTTTTTTCCAATGTGGTTAATGGATTGGCCAGAAGGGAATCCAAAGAAAAATTACCAAAGTGTGTTGAACAAAGGCAGTAACACTAGAACACTTCTGTAATGAGACTGCTTCTTTGGCTCAGCAACTTGTCTACTTCCCTGACCCTCTGTCCCCACACTACAAATTAGGAACCTCCTGTTGTGTACATCACAGGGGTCCTATGAGGAATAAATGGGAATGTGTATCAGTTATAGCGAGAGAAACCAGGAAGTTAGGGAAGGAGGAAGGTCAGTATAAAAGATACAAAGGAAGTGTGGAAGAAGGAAGAGAAGGAGAGAGGAATGAGGGAAAACTGGTCCACTATTCCATTCAATACACATTTACTCAGTGGAAAGGGAAGAGATTCATGCCCACAATTTCACAGCCAAGTAAATCAATAGCAGCAATATTACGTTACAAAGGCTACTACAAAAGTCACAGCCAAGTGGCTAGAAAAGCAGCAAGAGTATGACTTGGACCAAAGGGCCACTATTGAGTTATGTCTTGAAGGGTAAAGGAGAGTCAGCATCTTGGAGAATGAGCCAAAAACAAGTGAAAGTGTGAAAGTCCATCGGTAATGGCAAACATTCCTATGACAGCCCCCACACCCCAACCATGTTCTCAAGCTCTTTTAATCCTCACACTTGCCCTGAATGGTTGCTACTGTTCTGGTTTCTACTTAACAGATTAGGGAAATGAAGACCCACCTGTGTGAGTGGCACAACCAGGTCTTCACCCAAGCAGTGTGACTTGAGAGTTTCTGCCTGGATCACTGTGCCATTTGGCCTTAGAACTGACTCAAACACCTCAGGATGGCCAAAGAACAAGGGGTGGATAAAGGCAGGTGGCTGTTGATAACAGTGCTCTCAAGTCCCAAAATTGAGAATTTACCATTCCAACCAGATCATTGCTTCTTGCGGAAGTAGTTATGATAGACGCCTCCAAATTTAACTTTTATTAAGAAGCAAATACTATTTCACATAGTCAATTTACTACTCACTATATGACTTCAACATAATCACATTCAATCTGATCATCAGTCTAAGCTCTACAGGTTTTGATTCTTTTAAATTTTAATCAATTAAGCAGGAAATACTTTTCCTACAAAATGGATTCTTGAGCAAAATATGTGTACTATACAAAAAAAAATTGTGATCATGTTTCAGCTTCATATCCTTGAGGATGGGAGAGGATTTGAGACAAACTGATACCTGTCTCATTCTCTCTCTCTCACCTCTCTCTCTCTCACACACACACACACACACACTTTT